AAGTTATTACAGCTCACGTACATTGGTTGTAATGCTAAATGCTCAGGACTTTTACCATCGCCACCCAAGTAATTAACTGAAAATTAAAATTAAAAATAGCAACTACTTCCAAAAACTAAAACATTTACTAATTAAGCTTAAAGGAAAATTGTCTACAATAGTTCCAATTCAACTTTATTTGTATCAAACAATTTATAGCACGACACCTCACTTACCAAAATGTCTGAGGATCAAATCCACCAATGAATTTAACTGTAACCATATTTTAACATACAGCACGCATTTATATACTCAATTATATAAAATATTTTTTGTAATAAATACTACCCTTATTATTACCCGATTACTCCACCACAACTTTTTAAATATATGTATGTATATTTTTTTAATAAAATTCTTAACTTTAACTTTAACAACAGTCATTAGTTTTCCATGAGCGGATTTAAACATGACTTCATCTACTATCACAAATAGGTAGCGTTTTGCTAATATTCAGTATAATATAAACAGAGAAAGGGACTGCAATACTAAAGAATTGTGCCAACGATATTAAATATACAATGCTTTAGTATATTTTCAAACGCAAAATCCTATGATGCATCAGCATACATATACAGTTTATTATAAAATAAGAATTACAAAAACACATACATAAATATTCTATTTCATAAAAGCCCTATGATTTTCAGATTGTCTTGAAGTGGCTATGCTATGCTTTCACTTCAACAATATAATTCACAAGTTAATTAAATTCACAATTTTAGAGACACAAAAAATAGCATTTGATGTTGCTCCTTTAAAAGGAAACTGTCCCATTAATGTAAAGATAATCAGTTTCCTTCAGTATTGGTTATTGCATTGGGTATCTTAAAATCCTACTTTCTCAATTCCCCCAAAAAAACGAGAATAAAAAGAAAATTATAGTGGAGTAATCGATAAAAAAAGTATTTTTCTTAATGTTAACTATTTCTTAATATACTTGTAGAATTATATTCTAAACAGAAAATGCTCTTTCGTGCTAGTGAAATAGAAAATTCATTACTAAGTGGATCACATTTTACATTCTATCAATTAAGAAAAATAAATAATAAAAAATAATTATTACTTACAGCTGTCGTCTTCCTCCATAAATAACCTGCTTAAACAATATCCTGAGGATACTCCTAAGACCTTAAATTGAAATGAAACAAATAAATAGTTTATAAAGAATATTTGTTCAAAATATTACCGCAAGTACACACTGTATTCCAGCTTGCAGTACCTCTACATATCTATAATCTACTAAACAGTTAGTAACATCATCCCATACAGGAATAACAGAAGTCATATTTAGGGTACCTTTACATCCAGGTCCATTTTCCCACCAGCTGCTACTATCCGGATCAATCTTTAATATTTTGCTTTCCTGTAAATTAAAAATCACTTAATATACTACAGGTAGAAGAACAAAAAAACTAACCTTATGATTTAAAGATCCAATGTCTAGATATAAACAAATCAGAAATATATTCCAACCAAGCCAAAATAAGTTCCATAGCGAATACTGAAAGGTATTACTCAGCATTAGTTACTCTTAAAGATTGTTTACAAATACTTACAGCAATTATATATTTTGGTCTATACTGAAAAGCACCAAAGAAACCAAAAATTATGAAAATAACATCAAAGAAATTTATAAGAATTGGAATCCATAAAAATCCTAAAAAATCAAAAACTTGTCTTTGGGTGACAGTAACCTAAAAAATTGTAGTTCTTTAAACAGCAGCTAATAAAACATACAATGCAAAACATACAATTTGCAAAACACATATTGATAGCATAAAGTATCTCTTCGGACAGATTCCCATGTCATTTGTAACTTTTATAATTGCAAAATTTCAACAGTACGATACCTGTTTGTACTTGCTTTAAACAGGCATAAATGAGAGCATGCCATTTCTACCCATTTAATGTTATCTCATTATTACTAACTTTAATCAATACAACAATACATAAAATCCACTTAATTAGAAGCTCTAGAGTTCTTCTATATTTTATTATGAGCTAAAAACAGGTACACAAAAAACAAACTCAAATAGTTATTAACAAATAATAAGACAGGTAGACAGGTGACATATGACAGGTGACTAATAATTAGCGGAAATTCATAGACAAGCAGATAATAATAACACCATAGAAAATGAAACTTTTTTGTACCAAAGAAGAACGAATCACCATTTTTATAGTAAAGAGGTGACTACTCTATTAATAATAATTCTATTCTTTAATTTTGGCATAATGATATTATTAACCATTTTTAGTTGAGATTCAAATATCCTCTGCATACTCAATCCGTTTATTTAAATTTACAGTTTTAATAGTAGAATAAAAACAATATAATCTCAGTTAAGCTTGTATTAAGGATTTTAAATTATCAATCGTATAAAAACAATTTGCATCTATGTAAAACATATGCATTTACTTATTTTTAGAAACATCGGCAACGTTGTAGAGTCTATTTTTTGCTTAAAAATTGGATCTATGGTTGTAATCCATCATTTCTATTTTTATATTTTATAACCATACAACAAATATAAGATGTACGTTACACATTTTTTATCTGCTGTTAATTGATCGATTTTTTCACATTACACATTACGCCTCTATTTCGGTTATGCAATTAATTATATACTGTTATCATT